CACAGCACTGACAGCAGCACAGACACCATCCTATTACAGGGCATCTGACCTACGACTGACCAAAACAGCAGCCAGACACCAATATAATAAAAATACTAGCGTTCAACTGAATATTATCTTGATTTTTCAAATATTCTACATGAAAAAGAAACATTCAATACATGTTTCACTTTAATGACTAAACAACAGTTTTTATTCTGTATGTTTTAATATTCTAATATGTTTTTATAATTATTTTCATTAAACTTTTTAATAAAACGTGATGAACACTGAATTTTCATAGCCAACTGCTTGTTCATAAAAGTGGCACAACTGTCTGACACTCAAAAGGTTTTTCTGTTTTTGAACATTTTATTGATTATTCTCAATAAATGTATTGATTATTCTCAAATCTGCTGCAGCCCTAGTAAGTATTTTGCAGACCGCTTCCAATTGCCGACAACAGCGCAGCAACTTTACGGCTTTTTCTTTTTTTGGCTTTTGAAATGTGAAGAAAACACCTTCTACTCTGTTTGGCCACGAATTATGCAGGGACATCTTTTGAGTGTATCCAGAGACTCTAATTCAAAATGATTCCACCGGAAATGATGAAAACTAACTGTGGATGTGGCTGAGAGGAACGACTGTTCAACAGTGAAAAGATAAGGCGGGGCTTGTGATTGATCAGCTGTACTTGCACGTATTCAGGAATGATTGATTTGCCACACTACAGTGACAGAACAGTAAAATGATCTTAAACAGTTTAAAACCAAAACGTTCCCCATTCGACTGAGAAGGTCTGTGATTGATCTGAAAGCAGTGAGTCTCACCTTCCTGGGCTGGAAGTCGTACTTCACGCAGTGCTGGAATCCTTTGCCTTTGGACTTCAGTGACGTCACTATCAAACAGTTCCCCACGAAATGTGCCGAGTAGCCGATCCCTTTGCTGGTTCGGAAGCTGGGAGAGGAAGAACACACAGTGGGAACAGTTACAGAGGGAAACTCGTAACATCACAGCTTTTTCTTCATTAAGGAATTCCTGTGAAGTGTTAAGAATGGTTCTATTTGTAGGGGCGCACGATAAACTGGCTCACATATTATACACCAATACATGAGAAATTAACTATCATTGGCCTAATATTAAAATTACTGTTGATAATTACAATCAATAATTTTCAGCTTGTGCATGCGCTGAAATTTCGACCATCGAAAGCGGTGGATTTTGCCACTTCGGTGTGGGCCTATGTTCTTTTTCTCTTTCAGCCAAGAATGGCACAGTGTCGCTTTGGGCCATTTTCGTCTGAAAGAGAACTTTTAGCTAAAAAAAAACGAAATATTAAATATGACTACACTGAAATATCAAAACCTAACACTTAACAAAACAATAAAAACAAGAAACAGTGATTAAAAACAGTTTTTTCCATTTTTTTCCTTCGCTCTCCTGCGCCGTTCAGTGAAAGAACAATTTGAGCAGCAGCAGATCAACAGTGGAGAAAAGGGCAGCCGTGTGGAATCATTTCACAGCTTCTACAAGGGACAGTGACTGATTTATAGTCTCCGTTCATTTTAGTATCATCCCAGGTGTGCGACGTCCAAGAACTACTTCATTACAGATTTGATAACACATAAAAGTGACACCAATACAAGCTGAATACAGGAAAACAACAGAAGCAGGAAGATAAGTGTGAGCACAACAACACTAATGCTCTACCATTAATTCAACACTAATTCGCCTACCACTGTAAGTCATTCTGGAGAAGAGTATCTGCTAAAAATGTGAGTATTTGATGAAGCTGACTTGCTATGTCAATGTAATAATGGCCCATGTTTTCACTGCATTTCTGTACGGACTATACTGACCATATTTTAAAATGCAAAAGAGTAAAATGGTCAGGTATTAGTATCAGTATCGGCCACAACAGGGTATTAATTAGCAGTTAGTGGCCTTGAAATTACATTTTGGGAATTCTTATTATTCATTTACCATTTTTGTGACAGCAACGTTGTGAAGGAGGAGACTTTTCTGCACCTGGCTGGTGAAAATGGAAAACAATGTCTGCTCTTTTTAAAATAGGCAGCACTTTTACAGGCTGAATGAGGAGTGAAATGGCAATGTGTTCTTCAGAACAGTTCAAGGTTCTGACTGTGCTGAAATCGGTGTGTAATCCTGTTTCCCAAACACAGCGCAGGGTCCAGAACCTCCCTGCCCTGTACACCCTCTTCCTTCAGTGTGTTTTTTCCCCTCACATCGCTGCCAGCAGCTCTGCTGTCTTTTCCACCGAGGATGACTCAGCAGTAATAGAATATGAAGTCATCCTCTCTGTTATTTTCATTTTGAAGTCGGGACAGGTATGGAGGGCTGTTTTTCCAAAAGAAATTACATGTTTTTCTTCCTTTATTAACCCCTCAGCGGAGCAGAATTCATCAGGGCTGCTGGCTGCAATCATGGGCTTTCAAACAAACATGGCTGCCTGTGTTTGGCAGCATGTAGCAGCAGTGTTTGCAGAGGGAGCTGGGCTGTGTCGATAAGGCGATGGCTTATCAGGGCCCAGGTCTGCGCTATTCTCTCTCCGCTGCGCTGCATTCACCGCAGCAACACACACACACACACGAAACAGGATTACATGCTGATTTCAGCACCGGCTCAGACTCGCACAGCTCTAAAGAAGAGCAAAATCATTCCACTCCTCGTTCAGGCAATAAAGGTCTAGTTGCTTATTTTTAAAGTAAACGTTTGGCAAAAAATGAAAAACCTATGAGATTTGGCACTGAACCGTCAAAACATGTTTGTATTTTTGAATATTCTAATAGTCATGAACATTTAAAAAAGCAGTAATTAAGAACAGTGAACTAGGAAATAGTACATCATTAAATTAGAAAAAACATACTTTACTTTTAATGTAAGTCAATGGAACCAGACTTTTTTTCCAAGTCATTTTAGGTCATTTCTTTTAGTCCATTCATCATGAAATTTACATATAATGTAAAGGGTAACATGTATTTTCAAATTATGTCAAAAACTGAAAAACGTCAAAAATGGAGATACGAGGTTTTCGTCCGACAGCAGCAATGTTATCTTTTTTAATAAACCAAGAGGCGTCTGAACTCTACACTCCACCAGAGTGCAGTGCGGAGTCTGTGTCTTACGTTTTGGTTGGGGTTTCTTAATCTACGTTCACATTAGCAGGCGAGAGGTACCAGTGACCAGTCCACTCCTAGGGGCATACACAATCTGTAGCCACGATTTAACGATCAGTAGCCAGTGATATGGTGGCAGAGACACAAGCGACAAATCAATCTCAAATTTCCAACTTCATGCAGACGAACTATGACACAGTGAAGTGACAATCTAAATGACTGTCTCAGACACAGGGGTTCCCAGCCTCCACTCACTGACCTTTGGTTCCTAATCCTGACATTATCCACGTTTACATGCAGCCTGATAATCCGTTAATAATCCGACTAATAGCTCAATCGGAATGGAATATGTCCATGTAAACACCTCAATCAGTCTAGTCTAGTCCGATTGAGGCCATTCGGAATACAGTTTCTATCCGACTGATCGAGGTGGGTAATCCTGTAAATAATCCGTTAAATAGAAGAATAATATCCGTGTAAACGCCTGTATCTGATTACATTCCCTATCGGAAAGTTTAAGTCCGTTCTGATCATGTTCGTCACGTCATAGTGAAAGTTTATACCGTTCAACATGGCGGAGCAGAAACTGGTCTGCAGAGGAGACGAAGTTTATGCTCTGATCTTTAAAAGACGGCGGTGGGACGGACGTCCAGCTTATGTGTCTCAGAACACGACGTCTTCCTCTCGGCCTTCTTTAATAAGGACATGTGAAGGACGTTTTCCTGAGTCTGACATCATTTTAAAGCAGTTAATAACACAAGCACTGCTCACTGCTGCTCATCTCACTCTGACTGGACTCACGTGATGCTGGTTGTCATGGTAACATCTACACTAAGCAGTTCTCTAGATATTCGCGTCATTTAGGATCGTATTACTTGTTGTAAGCAATGTAAATGAAGATTTTCCATCAGAGTGTTGAGTAGAGTGAGATATAAACACCTCAGTCTTAATCTATAATCGGAATGTGTTCAATCGGATCGGCAAAAAATTCTACGTCGGAAAACGACGTCGTGTTTCGACAGACGTGACTCCGTAAGTTTGTTAGTGCAGTTAGTTCAGAGTTCAGCTCCAGTCCTGAAACCCCTGCACTGCATAACTGTGGTTTCCTGGTTGAAATACCTGATACTATTAGCTAATTAATCCCTTCTTGAGCTGAACGAGGTGAGAACAGCAGAGAAACACTAAACTATACAGTGCAGCGGCTCCAAACCTTCACAAAGCACAGCTAATCGAAGGCATTGCGCAGCGCAGTCACTCCCTGATTCGGTCCTCAAAATGGCAGCGACTGTACAGTGTGACGTCACGCGAAATGCGGAAATTGGCAAGTCTGCGCCACCTTACAGAGGAAATCCACAGATTTATCAAACGTTCTAAATAACTCAATGGTTGAGACGTAAACTAAGTCATTCAGAGTGGTTTGATTAGACTCGGTTCGCTGTAGAGAGACTTACTGACTCAGATGTCTTTACAGTGGTGGTGATAGGAACCAGGGGTCATGATGTCTACAACACAAATATACCTATTTAGTATCCAAAATGACCAGAGAACTCGTCTTATGAGGTTTTATAACTAATGTGGATAATGTCTTTATTCAGGCAACGCTCATGTGCAAAAATCACTACTAAAACAGTTCTGAGGGCAGTGCTACCCTCGAGACAGAACAAACGTAAATGGTTCAGAGAACAACCAATTAAAATAGCCAATAGGTGGGGCTCTCTCTGTTCCTCAGTGCTGCTAATGTGGATGCAGCGCATTAAAAGGTGTGGAATTTAGTTTCTGTTGTTGTTTGTTTTTCAGGAAATTCTTTTTACCTGCTGGTTTCTCAGAAAGCTGCCTGGAAAACTAGCAGCTTCTAAAGCAGCGTCTTCTTTGACAGCTGTAACGTAAGTTAACTAGTAAGAATGCTGGCTATGAAACATGAGCGACAGCAGTTTCTTTACTAACGCTGCGTTTACAAGTTGGAACTGAAGACGTACCTCTAGCGATGATGGCGCTGTGCAGCCACCAAACTTTATATCCAATGTTTTTGTGACAATCTAGATATAAAAGTAATAGTAATAATATGTTTTCAGTGCGACGTTAATTATGAACACATAAAAGTACACATGGGCCTCTATATTTGACAAACCTTATAGTATCTCTTATTCCGGCTGGCTCTGCTTAACCAACCACATTCATCCCCGCCTGTTGGCTGGTAAGCAGTTACGTTCGTTCCACCTCGAACGCAGCGCTGCCTTCAGAACCATTTTGAGTAGCGATTTCGCACATGAGCTTCAGGCAACATGTTTACAACCATTCTGTGTAGCAGCTTTATGTAAAGTCTTTTTACAGGCATTAAACATTGGGGGTTAAAGGTTAAGGTAATATTTGAGTGACTGTTGACTTCTAAGATTTCGGTGACTATTGACTTCTAGCCTTGTGGCTCCAGAAACTGAATTTGGACACTAAACACGTCTTGGCTGATTGACTACATCTGGGGTACACCAGGACAGTTTTTTCAGCAAACTGTTTCTTTAAATAAGCAGGACGTGTCTTATTCACCTTCAAGAGGATGCAGAAACAGAGCCTGCTGGGTCATAATGCGGAGTAAAAAATAAGAAATAAAAAACGGGAAATGAGGACACCTTGAACTGTGAACACTCCATATAAAAGCTGCTTGAGAAGGGAGGGGGGGGACAACTCACACCAACAAGTCAACCTTCTTGTAGTTATGAATGATGCTCCTCGCATTTCTCGCATGCCATATTTAGCCTTTACAATCAGACACAATGTTGAGAACGTCCAGAATTCACCCGGGAGACTGTTTAAGTTTCCCCAGTGGAGTGTTTCCACAGCGAGGTTACATTTTCACTGTAATTTATCTGTATCTAATTTTAAACTGCTTGTTCCACCAACACAGGAACACTCGAGCGAGCTCTCCACTGCACTGTACAACTGAGTACAAGAACACCAATCTTTATCATACCTGCACTGAAAACAGACTAAACAGTCTTGAACTGAACCGTATTGAACTGAATCTAACTGTAAGCACCAACTGTAGCTTTTTAAGCTCTCTCCAATCCGTGAAACCTGAAAAGCCACCGTGCTATTTTTAAATAAATGCCACCATTGTGATATTTTGCCATTCGTGTTAATAAAGCCATTTTCGTTTTGTTTGAAAGCTGCGAAAGGCGGCGTTTCGATGCTTTGAGCAGGCGACGGTGTAATTAAATCAAAAGGTCAAACCTAATGAGGCTCCTCATCGCAGGCTGACGAGGGGCTCCCGGTGTCTCACGACAGTTTGTTTCTGGAACGAACGCTGCGTCCAGCTTAGCGGCTCCTTGTGACATTTATCTATTCACATATTTACCTACTGCGCCCTCCAGGGCTCCTTCCAGCGCAGGAGTTTTTCTTAGTAACGTGTGATGTAGGCCACTGAGCAAAATTAGCCATGCCCCCCCCGAGGCCGAGCCGAGAGAGAGAGAGACCGCTCCCACTGAAAAGAGAAGTGGCTTACTTTCATGCAAGACCCTCCGTTCTTCCAGGTTTAGACTCCTGAGATCGCAGGTGTTTGGTAGGAAGTGCTGTAACGAAGCTGTTCTGACTAGGGCTGGGTATCGTTGGAAAATGTTCGATACCGATACGATACTTTCAGTACGATATCGATACCAAAGCAGTACTTTTTTTGATATCTTTTTTCTAACTGTAACCTGTAAAAAATACAAAAAAATATATATTTTTTTCCTAGGTAATTCCTTGGTAATTAGTTTTCCCTGTCAGTTCTATACCTGCCAGAGTCTCTGCTGCTCTGCTAACACTGTAATCTGTGATCAGTCACCCATTACAGAACAGACTCTGTGTGTTTTTCCTTTCTTTCTTTTCTTTGCCGAGTTGAACAGCTGCCCATCCTGTGCGTCTGATGCTGCTGCCTCTTCTGCCTTGATCAGGTGCCACTGCTGCCAGCCCTCTGGACCAGCTTGACCACCATTGAGCTTCATGCTGTACAACGCCGTGCAAACCTCACCCTACAACCTGACCCCACTGGTGCTGCTGCATAAACTAAACTAATCAAATTAATCATTTGCTCCACCTGTTTTCCCCGTTTCTGTACTAACAATGTTTACTATCCGGTGTCGACCAGAGGAGGATGGGTTCCCCTTCTGAGTCTTGGTTCATCTCAAGGTTTCTTCCTGTTTCTCTTAGGGAGTTTTTCCTTGCCACTGTCGCCACTGGCGATGCTCATGGGGGCTTGGACCCGGATTTCTTTCTGTAATGCTGATTTTTTTTTGTTTTGTAAAGCTGCTTTGTGACAACACCTGTTGTAAAAAGCACTATATAAATAAACTTTGCTTGCTCCTACAGCATACCAGGCAGGTATTACTGTGTTTGACAGCATATCTCTGGATGGGGGCTGATAACTGGGATGTTATGCTTACACATCATTGTAACTACTGTTACAGGTTTGCCATAGAGGGATAAAACAAATGATCTATCCCGCATCTCCTACCTAAACCAGGGACATTTAACAGTCGAAAAGGGCTGCAATCCTTTAACAATAAACTGTTCACTGCTCTGTGGCTCTTCTTCCATCCTCTCAACTGACACCGTTAGAGTCTCTGCTACAGTGAAAGGGGTCGTTTCTCCGTGGGCAGCCGCGTTAGCGGGAGTAGAACTGGTAAACTGGCTCAAACACTGTCAAAGCCCTCACCTCCAACATGAAAACAACATGCAAGTTAATAGGGCTCATTTATGAACCCCATAAGACATGAGTTATAACAACCTTACAAATATGTTCATACAGCGGCTGAACTGTAGCCAGTTATCCAGCTAATATGTGCTGGTTTTGTGCTAACTGGCTTTCAACGCTGACAAACGGCAGAGTAACTAGTGTTAGTTTTCTCTGGTAAAGCGAGAAAGGTGCAGAGTAAACGGTTAACCCCTTATTCTCCAGGGTATATTTTGGTTTGTCCATCTGAATTTACATGACCGAATCGTAAGGCAAATTATTCAGTAACTGCATGAAATAAACGTAAATTTTAATTTTATTTATTTTTTTTTTGTAAAACCTCCCCTAAAATTAACAGAACGTGTGTTTTATGATACACATATTTCTATATGCTTACAATTTACTGCTGAAAGACAAAAATCTGAGACGCTCTTTGTATTATTTTATAAAAATAATGTTTACAGAGCAGATCACTGAAGAGACGCCATCTGTTTACAGTTTATAGCCCAGATTTGTGGAAAAATGGGTCGAATTTCAGTAGAACAAAAAACTGTGAGTTCATCTTCTTTTATTATAAGGGTTTAAAATTACATCACCATCTATTTGACTGGAGAGAAGACAGTTACAGCTCTCATACGACCCCCACCTTTAGAATGTAGCTTATGAAATATGAAAGTTATGACGAATATGACGAAGTGCGTTTTGGAACCACCGGTGGTCCCACGGAGTTGAAAAGGTCAACTTACTTAATGCTTATCACTGGAAGCACTGGTGTCTGCGTGTGGTTGTAATATATTTAGCCCAGATTCTCCGGCGGCGACGCAGAGCTGTTCTTCATGCAGTCGAAAATTCTGTTTTCTTGACAGATATTAATTCCATGTGTAATCAAATGTTTCATCAGATTTGACGTCGTACCCGTTTTGGAAGCCACTATCATGACCTGGAACTGTTCTTAGTAACCTTTTCCAAGTAGAACCAGACTTTCAACCTCTTCGACATATTTAGCTGTGTGCTCTCTGCGTTTCTGTGCACCAGGGAGCCAGTCGCTTCTCTTTTCTTTGCATTAGTAGTAAGGTTACTCCACTAATCGCTGTGATTTGCATTTTATGCAAAGTATCGAACACAGACACCCAATTTTTGGAGACTTTTCGGTGCTCAGTAGTACCAAGATGCTTCAGTCGGTGCCTTTTTGGCATATAATTTCAGTACCCAGCCCTATTTCTGAGATCAGTTTCGCATTTATGGTATTGGAGAAAAGCTCAGACCAGGCAGAACCGGGAGCTGGTGTGGGATCAGCAGATTAAACGTAACATTATTTCGTTCAGAATCAGCTTTGCTCACCAGTACAGGTAGGGCTTGTCCTTGTCCACGTTGATATTGTTGAGAGGGTCCATACGGAACCATGTGTTGAAGGTGAAACCACTCTGGTAAGGCCACTTAGCAATGGGAGGCAAAGCGATGGCCTAGCAAGAGAAAACATTACACAAACGATCCCACATAAATGCAAGTCTAAAATCAGAAGACATCCATAACGGTCAGTCACAGCATCAGGAAACAAAATATGGGGCTCCAGAAAGGAGCAACCGTGTAAGTGCTGACCTGATCAATAGGAGATCGGGAGTTTGACTAAACTGGGGAGGATATTAGGTAAAATTTTAAAAAAGTTCCCCACCAAAAAAAATAAATCATAAATAAAATAAAAAATTTACTACAGAAAATAACTTACATATTAATTTTATTTAGTACTATAATTCTATAATTATAAGCCTTTTTCATTATTAACAACAGTAGCAGCTATTTTTTTTTTTTAACCAATATTTTTGGTAGTTTTGTTCATTTCTGCAGATGCTTTTGAATAGCATGTCATACTGTGTCGGAAACAAGAGTCCGCCCGATACATCAGCTGGCCAATAATATCGACCGATATGAAAATCATTTTTTTGTATTGGTTTTGGCAAATTTTCTGGGGCAACTTGCAGTTTCACAGCAATAAAGCAAAACCTTAGACAGTTGAGCTACAAGGGAAACGTAATGAGAGTCACCCATTATTGTCTTATTTTCATCACTTTAGTATTTATTTGTTTGTTTATTTATTATCATCCACATTCTTCTTATTTTAATTATGTTTATTTTATTATTTTAGTCAATTTAATTAATTTTTAGTTTACTTTTTGATCTTATTTTCCTTTTATTTTATTTTGATTACATTTTAGCTATGTTTTAATTATTGCTTTATATTTTCTACTGTATTTTTATGTATTTTATTCTATTATTAATGTTTCATTTTTTACACTTACCTGATCTGAGTCATTTTTTTTATTAAACATTTTTTTTTATTTGAGATGTTCTTACACACTATCAATCCCTTCTCCTGTATCAACTCAGCAACATTGTAAATGAGGGTCACCCTCAATGTTCTCCGAGATTATATAAAGGTTGAATGATTAATTACATCAAATTACTTAAACCATAGTAAGGGTTGGTCAGAGACGGCTCCTGACCGCATTTACACAAGTGTGAACGGAACGTGTTTACGTTATCCGTGTACAATGACATGACCAGAAATGTGTCTGCTGAGCGCTGACTAGCAGGTGAGGTAATAAACAATGAGTGTGTTTACATGCACTCAATAATCCGATCATAATCTGATTTCTGCAGTTATCCGATTATTCAAATGGTCATGTAAACATTATACTCTAAACTAGAAATCTGATCAAGAAATCTGATAAAGAGGCTGGATTTTAGCTCAGTAATCAGGTTTCTCAGTGCTGTAAACTCTTACTCTGATTTCTTTCGTTTCTCTCAGTCTGAGCATGTGTGAAAACAGACGGCGGTACCAGAAATAAGTGAGCAGCGTCGCCACGAGACGCAGAAAAACACTTTTGGAGTGACACTGAAACCAAATACATGCTTGAGGAAATGAAGGATTTAAATATTCTGCATCTTCTAGATGATGCATGTTCATATTCTCAGGTAAAGTGGCGTATGAATTTTGAGTTTTATGTTACGTTTACATCTCGTCTTCTTCTGTGAGTTTATTGGCTGGTTGCAAAGCAGAAATCTGATTACTGTCTGACTCATGTAGACCTGGAGTTTCCCCATTATCTGACCACTCAGGTGTATATAAAGGCATTGATCAGATAACTGACAAAATCTGATTTTCTGCAGTTACCGGATTATTAAGTGCATGTAAACAGACTCAGATGGAGGATACTTGAGGCAGGAGTTTTCCCCAAACCAAAAGCCTTCTTGTTTTCAGGGCCGATAAAAAAGTGTCCAAGCCAATTTTGTTGATTCTCAGAAAATATGAATGTGCTGATGTGCTTTTTACAGAGGAAATGTGAAATTGGATATCTTTTGGATACACTGGGCACATATTTTAGTGATAAGTGTAAAATATGATATGATCCAGATGTGAAACAGGTGTTAACACAAGGTGTACAGACTCATGTCACTTTGTGAGTTTCTACTGTTCGACTATTTGAGTTCAAGAAACACTCAAGAACAATGACAGACATCATTCAGTTAAGCACTGTTTTACTGAAACAAGTGCATAAAATTAAAATTTAAAATATAAATTATATGAGCTGATATTATTGGCTGTAAGAACTTTTATTCCCTTTTTGCTGATTGCTGACAAAAATGTTAATGAAAGGCCATCAGAAAACACATCAGCAAGTCTGTTTGAGTTGATTTAACAACTTAAGGCAGCTAAAGGTGAGTCTGTAATGATGTAGGCTGCAGTTTACAGGATGCTAATGAGAACACATAGACCTCCATTAGTCGTTAGCTAAATTATCCTCACAGCTCCAGTGCACTGAACTATTTCTTTAAAACACCCTAAAAGCACTAGAGGACATTACATACCGCTGCCTTTAAGCTGCTATTCTTCCCTTCACATTAATCAGCTCAAACAGCAGAGGGCAAACGCGGCTGGTTCTAGATCGGTTTCACGCTGCGCTTTAAACAGTGGGGATGAAGCTCGAGCAGCGTTAGACTGACTACAGGACAGAGGAGCGAGAGCCTCACCGCTGCACTGCGTCCGGGGAAGTTGAAGAAGGTATCTGGGCCGTGTCTCTGAGGCATCTGGTTCAGGACAGACAGCAGCTTGATGGCGTGCCTCGGCTACAGCCGGCCAACCAGCGGGACGGCCACAGACCGGAAGACAGATTAAAAAAAAAACAGGAAAAGATTGTTTTAGGAGAGCCATTAGGAAGGGAATGGGGTAATAAGAGAGACGGCAAAATCAAATTAAAAAAAGATGAAGGAACGGTGTAAGCAGGATGCAGAGAGAAGGGCAAAATGGTCAAAACAAATAACGAGGACAGGAGGCGAGAGAGGCAAGAGAGGCGAGAGAGAGAGAGAGAGAGAGAGAGAGAGAGAGAGAGAGAGAGAGAGAGAGAGAGAGAGAGAGAGAGAGAGAGAGAGAAAAAGGGAGCCGGAGAGAGACCCCACATATTCCTTCAAGCTAATATATATATATATATATATATATATATATATATATATATATATATATATATATAGCTGTTTTATTGCCTTGTATCTCCAAAATGGTAACTTTACAGGAGAAGGAAAAAACATACTTTACTTTTAATGTAACACAATGGAACCAGAAATCTTTCCAAGTCAATTTGGGTCGTTTCTTTTAGTCCATTCATCATGAAATTTACATACAATGTAAAGAGTAACAGGTATTTTCAAATTATGTCAAAAACTGTAAAACGTCAAAAATGGAGACAAGAGGTTTTGTTCCAATAACAGTGATTTTAGATATATATATATATATATATATACACACATACACACACACAGATAGATAGATAGAGAGAGAGAGAGAGAGAAAGATATAATTTCAAGAAGTTGTGACAGTATGAGAAAATGGAGATAAAACCAGAAAGCAGTGATTTGCAAATCCACTTTTACCTGCATTTGAACTAAAGCAGTGCAAAGACAAGATATTTAAAGTTTTAACTTCTTTAACTTTGTTATTTTGGAAATACAGACTCATTCTGACACTGATGCCTGGAACACATTACAAAAAGCAGACAGGAGTCACTTAAGACGTGGAACGTTGGTGATAATAAACATCCTCTACAGGTGATGCCATCCTGATTGGGCGTAAAAGGAGCATCCAGGAGAGGACTAGCCCTTTATGAGCAAGTATGGGTCGAGGCTCGCCACCCTTCCAAAAATGCATAGGCAAAAAACCCAACAGTTTAAGTATAACGTTCCTCAGCGAGCAACTACAAGGATTTTATGTATTTACCCTCTTTAGTGCATAATATCAAAAGAATCAGAGACTCAGGAGAAATCTCTGAGGGGGCGAAGGTCGCAGGCATTTATTTAGTGGTTTTTGCCCTTATCCTGTACGCACAGATACACTGCACTAAAAACGGTCATGTTTCTGTGATTGAGATCACCACATGAGCTTGGGAAGACTTTGACAAACCGTTGTCAATAAACACAATCTGTCACTGCAGCCATGAATCCAAGTTAAGCGGTGTGGAAGCCGTATGTCAACAGCATCCAGAAACACTGCTGACTTCTCTGGGCTTGAGCTCATCTGAAATGCACTACTGCACAGTGGAAATGTGGATTGTATTCTGATGAGTCAAACTTTCTGACTGTTTATGAAAACAATACGTTGTGTTCTTCAGACCAAAGAAGAAAAGGACCATCCAGATTGTTACCAGTGTAAAGTTGAAAATCCAGGGTCTGCCACTGCATGCGGTGTATCTGTGAAGGCACTTTTGTTGCTGAATACATTTTGAGCAACATATTTTGCCATCTAGATGACGTCTTTTTCAGGGACGCTCGTGCTTATTTCAACATGGCAATGGAATTCTGCACAAAACTGCATGGCTGCGTAATCAGATTGTCTCCCATTGAAAACGGGTGCAAAATACAGCAAAGAGGGACTGAAGAACTGTAGAGCAGAACAAAAATTCACTTTGATAACCAGATATGATGGTGCCTTCAGTCCCCAAATGATTATTTATTTATCTATGAGCTCATCACAACTTTAACCAATCAATGAGCTGTCCATCACTCCAGCCTGACTGCGCGAAAGCACGATCGATACGCCCTGAGGCTGTGCTCCTCCTGCCTGAGCCACACTCAGGATCACAGCACTGACCACAGGACTGCGAGGCAGCTCTGGCTCAGAGGTCACCCATTAACCTCCTCAGATTAAAAGTGCTGATCCACGGTCAGTTTCTCCTCATCACATCCTAATGAGTATGACAGCAGACGAGCGAGGGAGCCGATGCCTGGATCAGCGCTTTTAGCTGATGCTGGATGTATACGTGGCTTCTACTCACCCATACACCATTGTCTCCCCTCAGCATGCTAAACAGCAGCTTCAGCTCTTTCACTGTGATACTGTAACTGGCCAGCACTCCCAGCATGTCCACCAAGAGGTCTGAGAGAGAGAGAGAGAGAGAGAGAGAGAGAGAGAGAGAGAGAGAGAGAGAGAGAGAGAGAGAGAATATAATGAGTTAGCATTAACAATGCTGAGTCTTGCAAACTCATACAGATGATGTCACTGCATCAAGGCAATAAGCCAAATCTTAAGGCACCTATTGTATACATTACTGGATTGTGTTTTCAACACACACACACACACAAAACAGTGTGATAATCAAGCAATAGAACACAGAGGGAGTGTGTTTTCGTGAAATAACATCCCAGCTGTGATTTGGTCGCCGTAGATCATCACAGCCGTGATGTTATTGGTGATAACACACTCCTCGAGTGTTCTATTGCTTTTATACAACAGTTAAATAAATACAGTAATAAATTAATAAACTGGGTGGTGAACGCGGCGTTTAATATGTTTTAATGTTCGCAGTTCCTTCACCAAATTATAGTTCCTTAACGAGCAGCTTGTTGCTACGTCAGAGTAACGAGCTCCGCCAACTCGCTGCTCAGCCGGCAGTTCGTTCTCCAGCTCCTCACACTAAATTCCCAAACTGTCATCACCACTGAGCAGCTTTTCAGTCGGCAGCTGTGACAGAAGAACAGCTGAACAACCTGGAATCAGCCAGAAATGAACCCAACACCATTCGCCAAACGTGTAGTCTGATCTTCAGAGTCTGACCAAATCAGACTGAGCCATAAAACTGACACAATATCAAGTTCAGCTCAGTTTTGTCAGTTTTTTCCAGATCAGTATTAATGTTGTTTTGTTCCAGCCAGTCTGTAAAGCATCTTACAGCACATTTAGTTTGGCGAATGGTGTTGGGTTCATTTCTGGCTGATTCCAGGTTGTTCAGCTGTTCTTCTGTCACAGCTGCCGACTGAAAAGCTGCTCAGTGGTGATGACAGTTTGGGAATTTAGTGTTGTCTCATCTTCAGAGTCTGACCAAATCGGCTGTCGGTCAAAAGTGATCTTAAAAGTGTCCGTTTTCTGTTTGTGGCAAAGTAAGAAGTAAAAACGTTCAAATGGTTTGAGCGTCTCCTACAGCTGACAAAGTCGCTGCTTAGCAACAGCGTCTCAGCCGAGTGAAATAACAGCACGATTAGAACGCTTCTCAACCAATCATCTTGCATGGCCGGAACTAACTGTTGTATAACTGCAGATAGAGGAACCACCACTCAGATGGGAAATATTTTGAGTGATAAAAGGCTTTATACAATTCTCATTTCCTGTTTAAAAAAAAATAAAAAAGGTTGTTTTATCAATTTAAAAAATGTGTTTGATATTATTCCTTCATGTATGTCACACCTTGTGTAACTCTGGCTTCCCTGACGTCCACATAACCTACTGATGAGGATGTTTTGGTTACTATTTTTGGAAATCACGTCGGATTTCGCCGACGTTTTTCACCCCACGTCATACAGCTTTCCATGTTAACGTCACACACAGGCTCAAAAAGAAGCTTCATGTGCTCAGGAAAGGGGTCTGTAGCACAACCAACATAAAAAAAAATTCTGCACATTGCATGCAATTACACATTTCCACCAGAGAGGTCGCCAAACCACCAAAAGTTACATGATGTAATGCACATGATGTAACAAAACATAAACGTGCTGACTGTTCTCACTCCCAGCGCTGTGCAAAGCGGTAATGGCTCAATGAGGTTTTGGCAAGAGAAGAACTGTGACTCATTCAGAGACTCTACTTTGTTTTGAAAGACTGATGGAAAGTTCAGTTTAAACCTGACTGGTATATGTAAGTTGGGACAGTATGTGAAGGAAAACAGCTTGATTGGTGTGTGATCAGTTCTACCTTTTCTGTTATTATGATCATTATTATTATTACTACCTTTATTATTTATACAACAGTTAGTTCCGCCCACGCAAGCCGATTGGTTGAGAAGTGTTCTAATCGTGCTGTTATTTCACCATAACATCACAGGTCTTTCACAAACACCGTATCACTCTGCTGAGATGCCGTTGCTAAGCAACGACTTTGTCAGCTGTAGGAGACACTCAAGACAATTGAACGTTTTTACTTCTTACTTTGCCACAAACAGAAAATGGACACTTTTAAGATCACATTTGACCGACAGCCGATTTGGTCAGACTCTGAAGATGAGACGACACTAAATTCCCAAACTGTCGTCACCACTGAGCAGCTTTTCAGTCGGCAGCTGTGACAGAAGAACAGCTGAACAACCTGGAATCAGCCAGAAATGAACCCAACACCATTCGCCAAACTAAATGTGCTGTAAGATGCTTTACAGACTGGCTGGAACAAAACAACATTAATACTGATCTGGCAAAAACTGACAAAACTGAGCTGAACTTGATATTGTGTCAGTTTTATGGCTCAGTCTGATTTGGTCAGACTCTGAAGATCAGACTACACGTTTGGCGAATGGTATTGGGTTCATTTCTGGCTGATTCCAGGTTGTTTAGCTGTTCTTCTGTCACAGCTGCCGACTGAAAAGCTGCTCAGTGGTGATGACAGTTTGGGAGTTTAGTGTGAGGAGCTGGAGAACGAACGGGGCGGAGCTTGTTAGTCTGACGTAGCAACAAGCTGCTCGTTAAGGAACTATAATTTGGTGAAGGAACCGTGAACATTAAAACATATTACCAAGAGAGACACTGGAGTATTTTCACCTAAAATGAGTTAATGAAGCGAGACATTAAAGTCATAATTAATCTTTTAGATACTTAAGTACATTTGAAGGCAAATACTTTTGTACTTTTACTCAAGTGGAGGTCTAAAGGGAGGAAGTTCTCCTTTTACTGGAGTAATATTTTACCTTGGGTGTCTCTACTTTAACTCAAGTACATGGTTTGTGTACTTCGTCCACCACTGCCTGTAATATCTGCAATGGTAGCAGTTAAAGGTGCATTCGAGCCTAAAAGATGTTATTAAGAAATGTTTTTGTTTTTATTCTTCAGTGTTTTCTCTCTAAAATATCCTGCATGCATTATGCAAGTACATTACACAACCACCAGCATCTCTGTGATGTAGACTAATCTTCACTGCCAGCCAGCCGCTGAGCTATAGGTTAGTAAATATCACCAAGCTAGCTTTAATGTAGCTCTTGCCTTAATCAGGGTATAAAATCTTAAAGGAAACAGCAATTTCAACTCAAGTCAAGTGAAGATTTTAATTTTACCATTATTCAAGACAAAATAACAATAAGCCAAACTGAGGTAAGCTATATAGACAGCCAGGTAGCTACCATGCTAACTGTAGATTTCAGTTTGTCCTCAAGTCATTTCTGCCATTTGAGTAATCATTTCTATTCTCTCCACTGTAACGATCTGAAGATCATAACCACAATTACGGGTCATTCTACAGAAACGTCCATTTTTGTGTCCTTAGCGTTTACAGATATATTACACTTAAAAAAAAATACGTTAGGGTTACAATTTATTTATATTTTAAAATAAAACAATACGTTATTTTAACAATTACACCTTCTTGAGCCTCAATTCAGCAATATTGGTTTTTAAATCGATTATCTAGAATTCCAAGCACCACAGAAGAGCTCGTCCCCACAATCATGTGTGAAGGCTGAGGCTTTATTTTAGGTAAAAAACAACAAAAAGAACAAACACATTTTTCTGCTATTTTAACTACAATAATCTATACATGACTATGAAATATATAAATTAAATGACATAATAGAAAGAAAACAAATGGCAAATAAATATTATAAAATATATAATGAAAGTTGTCCCCAGGAGTCGTGTCACTGGTGTTACAGCTTAACAAAAAATCTCTTATTTTGAAATAAAAGTCACACTGATGACATCACTCGACTTCCTTTTACCTGTTTTCTGAGGATCTATGAAGAAAAGCACATGGTGAGTCCACTGTGTCTTTCAGTTATCAGAGATTTTCTCATTTAGCTCATGATTTCATATGAAGCTTTTAGCTGAAGTCACTGGTGTGACCGACTTTATTCTGAGGTAGTTGTTAAAAAATAAAACACAAATGGATTAAATTGCATATTTTAGCGGATATTCAATGATTGACAACATGTGGTTTGACGTTCTGTAGCAGTTATTTTGTAAAATGCATTGTTCATTAAAAATGTCTCTGGTGTTCCTTTATTATGTGTAACACCAGTGAGGATCAGTAACACCAGTGACTCCTATGGAGAGACAGAAAAGTGGACGTGTCTGTAGAATGACCCATATCCACTTACAATAACATACCACATCTTAGCTGTAACGTTAGCTAGATGTCTGTTTTGCATTAACCAGCTAACAAAAAAAGAAAGAAAAAAAAACAAAACCGTTTAACCTCAAAAATACAACATAAAACAGTTTAAATCTTTCAAACGTTCCTCCCTCCATAAAAATACACCATCAGACGAGGGTTTTTTCTAGTCTTTAAACCAAAAATCTTGCATTAGAGACAACTGCATCACCGCCGTGGGGTGTATTTCAGCATATTCAGAGCTGATGTAGTGATGGTTACATGTTTTGTTTTGGATGGCGTGTCGTAAGCTTTATTAGAGCAAACTGAAAGCAGAGAAAACTCATTAAGTCATAAAATAAAGCAATAAGCCATGAGAGGCCGTGGGTTACTGAGATTTTATCATGGGAAAGGGACCAAAACTCCCTTCCCTGTGATAAATTTCAATGCACAGCCTCAAGTGGCTTATTGCTTTTATAAAACGGCGGCCAACATGAAATATGATAAAATACACGATTGTTCAGAAAATAATTTATTATCAATAACAATCGACATCAACAAGTATTCCGCCAAGAAATATAGTTCCTCTAGAGTACAGTATCGTTGCAAAGCAACCAGGAGAACATTCGGTCACCCATCGCTGTATATTGTGGTCATTTAATGAATTTTTTAACTTTCTGTTGTGTAACAAAGAGCATATGATAACGCAGCACTGTTTAATGCAGAAACCTTTGCTTTATAAGTAATGTTTGGTCACCAAATTAACACAGCGAGTCTTATTTAGCACCAGTCCAGCGGCGCCCCTCTTCTCACACTGGGGCTGAATCTCAAACGGCTCCCTGCTCCCTACATAGTGCACTACATAGGAGTTTAAATACTGGATCCTGCAGCCCAACAGAGCAAAATACAGCTAAGAAACAGTCATTTGGGACTCAGACTCATCCACACTCCATTAATGATGCACTGTTTGACTGTAGAGGCTAGAATTTCTAACCTTTCACAGTCACCACACTATCTAGGGAGTACAGAGCCGTTTGTGATTCAGTCTGGGTTTGACGCGACTTCTGACTGAAATATGGACATTTGAAGTGTGTAAAACATTCAAGTGATATTTTTTAGACCTTTATTCTGCTGTTTTACAGTTAATCAGACCATAAGTGCTTTAATTCAAGCCTGTGATATTAATGATGGAGCTGTTTAGGCTGTTGGCTCTTTTAGCCTGTTAGCTAGCTGACCAGCCTAGTTCTAGTAAGAACATAAGTCATCAGCTCCTCAGTTTAAACAGAAATGGGTTCTTACTTCATCAGTACACTCGGTGCTCCATGTGAGCAGCATGAGAGTCAAAGATTATTCATTAACAGCAGAAGGGTTTTTCGTGATGTGGCGCAGTGATACAGAGTCCAGTTGTTGCGAGGCGTCACAGATGTGGGTATATCGTGGATTTTACAACGGCTTCGAACGCAGCTCAGCCAATCAGATTTTAGGACCAGGACTATCTGTTTTATAATGGTTATTTTACAGCTCTCCAAACAGTAAAGTAGTGGTACTAACCATCATTACCTTAAAGCGTGCACTGTGTGGCTGTTTTATCCACCCTAATATAAAAATATGGGATTAAACTTTCTGTATTGCAGCTCTGCTGAGGCCCGACCTGCTTTAAAATGACGTCAGTCGTATGTAAAGAGTAAGAGAATTGGTCTATTAGCGAGCTGAAACATGCACTCCTCTGTAGATCTGTCAGAAGGACACAGAGAGGAGACTTTCTCCCAAACGTGCTTACAGGGGCGATTTTACGCATTAGGTCCGCATTAGCCGAATTGCACGGTCCGCTGTGCGTAATTATACAGACATATTGGTCACGGGAGCGCATTACGAGCGGTGTGGAGAGAAACCGCGGCCTGTTTTTTCTGCCGTAATTGAGAAAAGGATGGATTCGAGCAAACGGCGAACAACATGGAAAAACATTGAAAATTCTTGTTCTTTACGAAAAGCATTTTTATTTTGATGAAGTTTGACCCATGACTGATTACACACAGCCAATCACACATTAAACATTTCAGAGGGTTTTACTGCAAAGTTCAGCCATTGCTCAGAGGTTTATAAGCCAGTACAGGCTGCGTCTCAAAGTGCTCATCAGTTCAGTAACTGGGGTACTGCTCAGGGAACCAGCCCTGTTCTAGAGGGCATGCCTTAGAACACTAATAGACCAATTCTATTACTAATGACGTCTGCATTTTAAAGCAGGATGGGCCTCAGAATGTCTGAGATGAATCCCATACTTTATATTTTGGTGCATAATAAAGCTGCACGGCATACACGTTAATTAAAGCTAGTGCTGCTACTGGACTGTACTGTCAAAATCATTCCAATGAAATGAAACTAGGGTTGCATTAAAGTGTATTTTTAATCAGCATTGCGTTGTACATTTCCATGATAAACACAAGCTATACTGTATCCTAGGGTTTCAGTCAGGGGCTCCAAGCCTGGAGCGAAAACAGTGAATTAAAGGTCTGTGTGTCTCTCGTCTCTCGACTTCTGTCGCGTTTGACAGGTGAATCATTCACAAAGCACAGCTAATTGAAGGCGTCGTGCATCGCAGCCACTCACAAATATGATGTGTCTTAGTTTTTAAATAGAAATAAATTTTAAATAAATTTAAAAATTATTTTTCTAAAATCTCACACTTAACACTTACTTAACGCTGTATTTCTGTGGTGTATGAGACGCTTGTATTGGTCATTTTTGGATGTTAGCAGTAAAGTTACTAGTACTAGTTTAGTAATTAACGGTATTTCCTTTTCCCTATAATTATCATCACGTTTTTATTAGATTAAGATTAAGTGACCCTTATTAGTGCCACAACGGAGAAATCTCACCTCTACATTTTAAACCATCCGTGCAGTGAAACACCACATACACACTAGTGAAGACACACACTAAGGGGCAGTGAGCACACTCGCCCGGAGTGGTGGGCAGCCCTATCCGCAGCACCCGGGGAGCAGTTGGGCAGTAGGTGCCTTGCTTAAGGGCACCTCAGTCATGTCCTGTCAGCTCAGGGGATCGAACCGGCGACCTTCCGGTCGCAAGGCTGGTTCCCTAACGTCCAGGCCACAACTGCTCCCATTTGTTGGAATATATAATCGCAATTATGTTGTATGTTCGTTTGGTGGCTCATACCTGCGATCATGTCGTCGACGGAGCTCATCTTCTGCAGTACCTGCTGGATGAGGCCCACCTCGGTGCTGGTCTGCAGGTTGCGCACGCTCTTGCGCAGGATCGCCGTGAACATGCTCCAGATCTCCGCCTGGCACGTCACATCGCAGTGCTCGAGCAGCTCCACCATGCAGGTGATGCTCTCCGCGTCCTGGATGATGAAGTTCATCTCCAGGTCGAATTCGCCGCCCACCAGCTGAGGACGAGAGGGAACAAGCAGGGGGTCAAGAAAAGTGTTTGGGAAATTAATTCATACAGAGCAACGACATCACACTGAGGGCTCTCGGCTCATCACTCCTTTCTCTGAAACAAATCATTTTACACCTCAAAATCAAGTATTTACAGTATTCAGATGACAAAATCGCACCTCCACCACTTCGGTAAACAACATCAGGTTCATTCAGCTCCCACAAACAATCCAGCAAAGGCAGCAAAACACAAAATACTCACTTCAAAACTAAAGTTAAAGCGTATTTACCAGGGTTTTTGACTGTAACGCATTTGATTTATTGCTGAAATCTAAACGGACGAGATTTCCAGTTGCATTACTTGGCTGTGTCCCAACATACAAGCGCACAAATAATATGTAAAAACAGTGCAGCACCATTAGAATCGCACTCATTAGTGCAGAAGGTAAAGTATAGACGTAATTAGTTAGGGACGCAGTGTTAGATCAGCCAGAGAGAAGCGTTCAGCACAGCGTCCGTGGCTGATTTCAGTTTTTAATAAAATTTAAACAAATAATTTTAAGTTCAGCTTTTTTTATTTAGGTTCAACCAGTCCTAGCAGCATTTAACAGAGTCTGCAACTTATCCAATCACTGCATTATTCCCACACTAAACATGTAAATCTGTAAAGTGCTTTCAAAATGAAGCGTGCAGCTCCTAAACTACGTGTCAGGAAGCCACAGTCTTATGGCAAGCCGTTTCAGCTTTTAATACTTTTGATATCAGGAATTCAATTTACACATGAAAATGTAACTCTTACTCTTAAGTTTAATTCCTGATATCAAAAATTAAATTTTTACTAATGAAATAATAATAATTAAGTAATATGAAGTAATAATTCAATTAGAACTAGTAAAATTGTACTTTCTACAAGTAAAAGTAAATTTTTACATGTGAAATTTATTATTACTAGTAAAAATCAAATTTTCAAATTCGTAGTTTGTATTTTTACCAGTAAATATTTCATTTTTTAAATGAAGAAATGAAATTCACTAGTGAAAATGTAATTCTTACTAGTAAAAATGTTTCTCATGAATTCTAACTAGTAAAAAATAAAATTTTGCCTGGTAAGAATCACATTTTTACTAGTGGAAATTCCTGAGATCAAGAAAAAAAAATTAAACGCTGAAACGGCTCGCCACACCGTCTCAGCTGCTCCGCCCACATTAGATATAGACAGAGAGTCTGATATCTAATGTAGCCAACAAGTAATAGAAGCCTAAACTCCACCAATTAGCATGAAACAAACAGCACCATAATTAATTATACTTGTTGAGTTGTTAAGTGATCTCAGGCAGACCCGCTTGTGTGGTTTCTGGTACTGCTATCTGTAAAAAATTCAGACAAAATTCAGGCTACAAGGCAGCCGCTATTAAATGCTTTGTTTTATTTATTTATTTATTTATTTTAACATAATCTGCACAATGTATTTTGTCAGAAACCACATAAGAAAGTCTATTTGAAGTTTCACCTATTTAGTCATGTTGTTTGAAAGACGCTAATTGGTAAGGCTAACTGTGAGCTACATTGGCCATTAATAAAACTAAAGAAGCTGACTTTAGACACAAAACACATCTCAGTTCATTTGATTTTTCGGCAGCCTGTCGCTTTAAGCCTGAACCCAAGCTGCAGACCCAGCCGAGCGCAGCCTCGGGGCCTGATAAACCCTCACTGCCGTTTGAGAGCCTCATTCAGGGCTGGTGGCAGAGAGGGAAGGTAATGACACATAAACCTCCTGTCTGACAGAGCACCGGGCAGGGAAGTCGCGCAGACCAATCGGAACTGCCGCCCCGCAGAGAGCGGTAATCAATGGCGTCGCTCTAGTAGCTCAACAGGCATGAAATTGGCCGGCTCTGATGCAAAACCCCCGGACCTCGGGGTAAACAAGGTGGACACGAGAAATAAAGGCTCCATTCCCCGTAAATGACGCTGCGGGGGAAAAGGAACGCCACGGAACTGCCTCTGCTTCCCTAAAGCTTCCAGACTGCGTCCAACATTAATCACGGATGAAATCTTTAAGCTTCTGCCAATACAGAGCTGCAGGATGAAACCTTCCGCTGACCGGTTAGAACATCGATAACACAGGCCTGCAGTCAGTGCCGGCCGCTGACCTTGATCAGCTACTAAGGATGGTTATTATCCGGGATGCACCGATATAGAATTTCTAGGCAATAATCAACAATAACCAAACACAAACAAATCAAATCACGCTTGTCGCATCACATTTACACAGGTGCAACGTGGGTGAAAATCTTAGGGGTGTAGCCCCCTTGTAGAATTTATATATAATCTTAATGAGTTCTCACGGACGCTTGAACATCAAAATTAGTCTGAATGCACATCCTGAACTGTCAGTACTCCAAGAACACTGAACGGCTGCATGCTTCATTAAAAAGGGCAGAGAATGTACTGGATTTAATAGTCTTCATGTTCTGCTGTTACATATTTTGCCATATAGTTCTTCTCTATCTATTAGCGTCAATATATTAAGGTGTTACAGACTTTCTTTGATCTTACTGCACCTTCAATATAGCAAATCTATACTTACACATATAGATTGACATGTTGTACATCTTCTATCCATATCTAGTGTAATCTGGAAGATTTCTATATTAATATTTTACCCCCTGTGTACCTGCATCTCATTTATCTACCTCAGACAAACTGCACCTACGGAAATGTGTACAACTGTACATATAGTTTTACTTCATAACTTATTACTGTAAAACTCTACGTTGGAAATATAAACATGTCGATCTATATGTGTAAGTATAGATTTGCTATATTGAAGGTGCAGTAAGATCAAAGAAAGTCTGTAACACCTTAATATATTGACGCTAATAGATAGAGAAGAACTATATGGCAAAATATGTAACAGCAGAACATGAAGACTATTAAATCCAGTACATTCTCTGCCCTTTTTAATGAAGCATGCAGCCGTTCAGTGTTCTTGGAGTACTGACAGTTCAGGATGTGCATTCAGACTAATTTGGTGTTCAAGCGTGCGTGAGAGCTCATGAAGAGATATAGGGTTAACTCTAGAGAACCGGGAGGTCGGTCCTGGGGGTCGGGGGGTGGGAGCGTGAGGGAGCTAAACAGTGTCACGCTGGATGCTGATGAATACTAGTCTTCTACACAAGCTATTTCCTCCCCAGTGGATGATGTGCCAACAAGTTATTTTCCAGATAAATAGATTTTCATTTCATTTCAACACCTCAGTGTCACTGCTGGACTGAGAATAGTCCAACAACCAAAAATATCCAGCCAACAGCGTCCTGTGGGCCGCGTCCTGTGACCACTGATGAAGGACTGGAGGATGACCAACACAAACTGTGCAGCAGCAGATGAGCTATCGTCTCTGACTTTACATCTACAAGGTGGACTGACAAGGTAGGAGTGACTAATAGAGTGGACAGTGAGTGGACACAGTGTTTAAAAACTCCAGCAGCACTGCTGTGACTGATCCACTCAGACCAGCGCAACACACACTAACACACCACCACCACGTCAGTGTCACTGCAGTGCTGAGAATGATCCACCACCCAAATAGTACCTGCTCTGTGAGGGTCCATGGGGGTCCTGACCACTGAAGAACAGGGTGAAAGGGGACTAACAAAGTATCAGAGAAACAGATGGACTACAGTCTGTAACTGTAGAACTACAAAGTGCACCTATATAGTAGATAAAATGGACTTATATACATACAGATAGATATCATATTAAACAATAACATTAATTAAAAAATAATACAATAAAAATACTATATATACACACAAAGTGGCTGCAGAAAGAAGTGAAGGTACTGAGTGATCAGGTATGAGAGAGGCCCTCACCTCTGACTGTATGTTTCGAGAGCAAAAGTGAGACAGGGTGTGACCGGCCATCACCCCACAGGCTAACATCCGATCCATATCGGTCTGCAGCAAGGGAGGCCAAGGATGACCACGGCTATAGATTCCTGCTGCTACATTACTCCCAGTGGCCATTAGTAAGTGGAAGATTAATTGTTAGACGCTCGCTAATCAATACCTGGCACTGGGTGAGATAGTTGTGTGAACTCAAAGGGAATTAAAAGTTAACAGTATGATGAAAAGGTTATAATACAGCACAACGTGCCGCCACAGCGCTTCTACGCGAGGCAGAATAATCTTAAGAAGGCGCAGAAATTCATGTAAAAGCTTCAAATGCAAAGCTAATCCTGAATAAAACGTAACCTCAGGCTACTGGAAGCTAACATACATACATGCTTCCACACAGAAAGGACGGAGTAGGATCACAGCACGCTTGTTTACCTCCCACACACGCTGCTTGGTTCAGATAGCTCACATAAAAGGGGAGCCGTCTTCGTTTAAAAGCACGTATTTCTTACCAGCACCTCGCGCTGCACAGCTACACAGCTACACAGCAGCTTTCTGAGTGATGCCAGACTCCATCGCAGGCCTTCCAGAGATGGGATTAATCCAGTAAACACAGTACTTACCCAACAAAACTCTTACAGCTTTGAAGATATCATTCTTTGGAGCCTCAGCACTGTAACTTCCCTATTCAGTGGCAATTAGCTACAGATCTGTTTCAGGTGCGCTGAAGCAGGGAGCTTGAAACATGATATAAGCTGCCATTCAAAGCCTGGGCTGCAGCCGAGGGAGGGCGGGTCCTCGGTAGGACCGCCCTATGAAGGCTCCTCCTTAAGCAGCCTATTGGTCACATTAATTGAACAGTCCTAACGAGGCTGCGTGGTGACGCCACCAGAGCGGCGCCAAACTCGCGATGGAACTGGTGAGAGAAAATGGAGCCGCTGCATTGAGTTTGTTGCTTTTTCATTTCTTCACAGAAACGGAGATGTTTTTAAGTAGTACGATAACCTACACATATACAAACACTCCTAAATACAATATGATATACGGACGAATCTTTTAATTAATCAGTCATTTTACACTTTAT